TTCCATGTCAGTTGACATCATTTTGATACTATAAAATAGTAATTCCTAATATTTTATTGGTTAGACTTCATGTCATTTGATTTGAAAAAGCTCTTTTCTCAGCCTTGTTCCCTTGTGGGGAAAAAAATGATTCCCCAGGCAATATTCAGTTTTGTACTCCATTGATCTACACACGAACCAGGCCAAGCCACACGCCTGCCAGCTTAGCTCCAGGACCCCACAAGAGCTACCATGAGCTCTGCCTGGGCCCAAATGGGCACCAGTGGAATTGTTTCTGTTTAACTAAAATGAATAAGAACTCTTGTTGAAAATCAGATCACACATCTTGAGTGGTCTCCACAAGGAGGGCCAAGCCTCTCTGTGTCTCAGGCCTCACAAGCTGTGTGGCCAGAGCCCAAGCCCAGCACATCCCCGCATCTGGATAACGCTTGATTGATTGCCCCTGGGCGTGCTTGGCTTCCAGCTGGTGAGGAACTCCAGCAAGGCAACAGATGAGCAATCTCTCCTGCTGACCAGCCTGGCCCCTGCTTTGTCTGTGTTGAAGTCCCAGGGGTGCCTACCCTCATCAGCAACACCACAGGTAAGAGCCCTCCAGGCTCCAGGCTTCCCAGCCTTGAACGTGCCCAGGACTTGCCGGCTGTTTCATTAAAGAGCAGACTCTGATCCCAATGGTCTGGGGTCCAACTGAGACTCCCTGTCTAATAAGCTTCTTGGTGATGCTGAGGCCTCTGGTTAATAGGTGATTCTAAGTAGCAAGGATCCTTGTGGAAGGTCTCTGTTTTCAAGTCGATGCCCACTCCTATCATATATGTCTTAAGATGTAGGGTCCTTCCAGGTGTGCTTGTTCAATCTACTGCCCAACAGAATCACCTTCAAAGAAGTTTCTGAAAGTGCACATCTACCACACCAGCATCTCTGAAAAAGGAGGCCTCATGCACCTGTGTCTTAACCTGTTCTCCCAGGTGGATTCTTCCAGACTCAAAGCTTGGGGACCACCAGAGAGGACTCAAATGGCCTTGAATGGGATCATCCAGAGCTGCCTACTTGCTCTGTGCAGCTCTGGGCTTTGGCAGAGGGGCTCTTGTTTAATCACACTTGTACTGAGGGATGCCACACCACGTACGGCACACAGTTCTCTTTCGTACTTCTGGCTAAGCTGTGGAGGAACTCTCTCACCACATTATCTTGCGCCTTTATGACAAGATGCAGGAGGAATTTTTATTCCAGACTGAAAAAGCCAGCTCGGATAAGGGGACTCATTTAATGGTCATTGTTGCCTCTCTGACAATGGAGAAACTCAGAGCCAAATTTGGGGCTCAGTTTGGCAATGATACAGGTCCTTTTGCCATATGTCCCTGTGTATCAGCAAATGGGGCTAATTTTCCCATCCCGCTCCTCTTTTCTCACCTCCTTGGAGTTTTACGCCTATTGACATCCTTTCTACAACAGTGTGTAGGGATGCATGGGAGGCATCATCCATTCTGTCCACCAATATCAGATCTCTCCCATGCTTGACTCTTTAAGTTTGGTGTGGCCATGTGACTTGCTCTGACCCAGGAGACAAGAGGAGAGAAGACTTGTGGTGGTCACGTCATTGGTGGTGCTCAATTCTTGAGCCTTCCTTTCCCTTCCCAGTCAGTCCTGGGACCAGGTGGCGATGAAGAGAAGCCACAAAAGAAAAGCAGCTGGAGCACTGAGACCACGCAGGAGACAAGGGCTCCAGAGAGCCACCTGAGTCCAAAGGGGACTGTGTGCCGGTCGAAAGTAAACTTTGCTATCTATCAAGATTTGGCGGGGGGGGTGGCTACTGCACCATAATTTGTGCCTGCTGACTCTCTCATATGCAAAGGACCTCGAATCCTTTATGTCCAGATGCTCAGTTATAAACAAGTAGGTAAACACAGAAACACAGTCCCAGGTAAAGCCTCTTTCAGGAAAAAGCTATTTGCAGAAGACCATTTACAGGTTATACTGCTAAGCTATGTCTTTGAGAACTTGAAATTGAATCTTCTTGTTTCAAGGCCAGTCACCGACCCTTTACCATCAACACTCCTACATCATGTTTTAATATCCTGCTCTGGCTTCCTTTTTTATTGTGAAAAATGATACAGATTTATCATTTTATGCATACGCAAGTGCACAATTGGATAGCATCAAACACGTTCACAATGTTGCATGAGCATCACCACTATCTGTACCTAAAACTGTTTCATCTACCTATTAAATAACAATGCTCCCTCTCGCCTTCTCTCTGCCCCTGGCAACCTCTAATTTACTGTCTCTTATGAATTTTCCTATTCCAGGCATCTCACGTAAGTGGAACCAGACAATGTGTGTCCTTCTATGTCTGGCTTATTTCATCAAGTAGAATTGTTTTCAGGGTCCATCTATACTGTACAGAAATTTCACTTTTTATGGCTGAATACATTCCACTGTATTGTTTACACCACATTTCATTCATCCTACACCTATGGATGAATATTTGGGTTGTTTCTACCTTTTGGCTATTGTGAATAATGGCATTGTGAACATGGGTATACAAGTATCTTCTCACTGGATTAATAAAGAACAGCTGTTGTCCTAATAGCAATACATAAAATAATTTTAAAAGAAATATTATAAAAATAAGAAAATAAAATAAATCCACCCATGTAACACTTTGAACTTTTTTTTTTTTTTTCACTCGTAGGCATTGAACCCTTAGGTGTGCCAGGCAAGCACTCTACTGCTGAGCTACAACCTCAGCTCTTTCTAATTTTGAAACAGGGTCTTGCTAAATTGCTGGGGCAGACCTCAGACTCCTGATCCTCCTGCCTCAGCCTCCTGAGTAGCTGGGATTACAGGAGTGCACCCCTGTACTCAGCATGCTTTGTATTTTTTAAGTTTCCTTACAGGAGTTCATTGTTCTCATCCGAGACTCATTGCAGACTTACAAGGAGAGAAGGAGGCAGGACTGATTCACCCAACAGTTACATAGTTCGAGATTCTAAGGTGGGCACTTCCTAGACACCTTTGATGAGAAGCGCAGGACTCAGAAGGGTTAAGGAACTTTCCCAAGTTACAGAGGCTCTGCTGCAGGTTGTGTGTGCAGGTCTCATCCTGCTTCACCAGCTACTTTATCATATTTTCAGCTCAAAGCCTACGTTCCTAGGTGTCCACCTGCCCATGGCCTTCCCTGTGCCTATGGTATCCAGGTTCACTAGCCCATGCACAGGCACACTCCTCCTACCTCCATGTCCATGGGAAGCACCAACATACGGTTTATGATGGTGGGGAGGATTCAGCCCCCTAATCTCACATCAAAGTCACCCCAAATATCATTCAATCTAACTGAAATCCTGAACTTGCTATGCAGACAGCAGATTCAAGGTAAGTTTCAAAGTGACACCTCCAAATCAGTCTGTTCACTGCCAAGTGTCCCATATGTAGAAATTCTGAAACTGGTTTTCAGAGACACGGGAAGTGACGTCATGAGGGACTCATAGAACACTGCTAAGAAAGTCCAGCAGAGGATACAGGCTGGGGAAGGACATACTCCCCGGCCACCCCTTGCAGGGCCCTAGGCTTCTAGTCACATGGACAATGCCCTAAGAGTTTTCCTGCCAGACACCCAGTTACCATGGTGCTGTCAGGGCTGCTAATGGGCAGGGCCACCAGGATGGGAAGGGGGTCATGATCTGGTTTCTTCAGCACAAAGCTCTTCAGATATGGCCTGTGTGTTCCCAGTCATGCTGATCCCCTCTGCCTTGCCTCCCACTCAGTCGCTGAACCCCGGGTTCCAGGACTGACCTTGGGAAGTCTTTCTTGACTAATCAGGACCTAGGCTGATCTCTTCTGTACTCTGTGCAGAATGTACCCCTGGCAGAATGTCTATGTGCCATGAGGCTGTGTGGGAGGCTCAAGGAGGTTCACCTTGTCACCTGCTTCACCGACAGGCCCTTTAGAGACAAGGGGCCCTAGCTGCAGATCACAAAGTGTGCACACCCTGTGCTGCTGCCAGCACGAGCCCTTTTGCTGTCCTGGTGTTCTGGCAGCTGCAAGCCACTTCCTTTCTCTCTATCTAGTCTTTCAAAACGCTTTCCCTGCTCCAACCCTCTTCTCAGAATTTCCACAGCACCTCCCCCAACCTGCTGGATTATGCATTTTTAGGAGGGTGGTACAAAGACCTCCCCCTCATTGCTTCCTGAGGCTGGAGTGTAACTGCACAGCTGAAAGTAGCCATGCCACACCCTTGCTCAAGATTCTCCATGGCTCCCAAATGCCTCCAGATAAGTTCTAGTGCCCAGGGTGGCAGAAAAGACCTCCTTCTCCACCCATTAGCCAGCAGACCTTCCCACCTTCCTTCCACTACCCCAGAGCCACCAGCTCATGGAACCCCTGAATACAATTCCCGTCTGCTCCACAATGCAAACCCAAATCATGCCAAACACCTACTGGTTCAGCCCAAGGGTCACTTATTCCCGTCCCTCCCTGAACACCCTCAGTCCTTTGAACATTTATCAAACCTCTTTTCCTTACATCAATCTGGAATTCTATCTGGGTTTCTCTTTGTAAATTTGAAGTCATGGCCAGAGTCTTCTTAAATTCGGGCATCTCCTCTGACCAGTGGCTTGTGAAGTCCTTACTCAGTACATGTTCATAGGTTCCTGTCTCTATTTGAAAGCTTTCTCCTCAAAGTTCCAGGAACTCAAGTCCTGCCTCCTTAACTAGATCCAAAAATCTCCTGCAGCAGAGCTTCTCCAGTTTAAGGATCATTCAAATCCCCAGGGGCGGATTAACATGCGGCTTTGATTTAGGAGGTCTCGGGAGGGGACAGACTGAATTTCTAATAAGAGTCCAGGCGGCTCTGCACCATCACCTGTGGATCAGGCAACAGCTCACCTGGTGGAGCGGGCGGGGCGCCCCGAGATGAATGGAAGCTGAAAGGCTCAGTCCTGCTCAGCGGGAGCAGGGGGGAGTGGGGACCCGTGGGGACCCCTAGAGGCCCCCGGCTCACTTACCTATGGTGGACACAACGGTGCCCACGAAGTAGAAGGCGCCGGTGAAGTCCCAGCGCGGACGGACGTTGTCCATGCGGATGCCGGCCCTGGTGGCTTCCTCGTAGTGGCGGAGGAAGCCGCGCAGCTCTTCGCGGCTGAGGTTGTGGCCGCGGCTGAAGTTGGCCAGGCGCTCTTCCCAGCGCTGCTTGGCTTGACGCTCGTGCGCCAGCTCCAGCGCGGAGAAGACGGCGGCGCCCCCCAAGAGGTAGAGCAGGATGAGCGCGGCGAGCAGCAGGAAGCGCGCGTTGTCCTCATTCAAGTGGCCGGGACCACAGCTGCAACCCCGGCTGGCCATGGCCGGGCCCCCGGGACAGCCCCGTGCCAGACCGCCCTGGGCGCAGGCGGGCTCTGGTCCGCACCCCGGGGAGGTCGCGGCTCCGCGGGCACTCAGCCCGCTCCCGGACGCCCCGCGGTTGGCACACCCATGACCGCCGGGCGCTCCCACAGCGCCTCCGCCGCTTCTGCGGCACCAGCTCCCCACGTCCTGGTTTCGAATCCGCTTTGTCGCCGCCGTTTCCTGCCGGCCTTGGAGTTCTCCTTAACACTGACGACTCGAGAGTCCGAGCGCAGAGTCCTTTGAGGCTTGGTACGATGAGCGGGCGAGGGGTTTCACCTCGGGGTCCCCGCTGGGCCCAGACTGGGGAGGGGGCGTGGCACGTCTTCACAGCAAACTGGAGAGGACTTGAACTTCCCCGGAATCGGAGGTCGGAGTCCAGAGAGGTAGGTAGGTCAGCGGAGCCCTCGGGTCTTTGTTCCTCCGACCTCACTTCTTAAGCCGCCGATGCCTCATAGGCGGGTGGTGGGGTGTCTACTGGCTTTGGAGTTGCCCACCCAGTCGGATCCGCAGTGGTGCGTCCTAATCGCCCTGTCGCGCCAAGCCTCTTGCCCCCTGAGTCACCGACCCGACTGCCTGGGCTTAGAAGCTGGATACCCGTCCAGGGCAGGCGCACGAACTGAGGGACTGTGCAGAGTGGCATCTGCAGGCTTGAACCTCCCTCCCGACCCCCACGCAGCGTGGCATCCAGCAGGTGGATCGGCTGGAAAGAGACCAGAAAGGGAGGAATAAGGAAGTTAGGAGCATCTCCCCAGCCAGCGTGTCCTTGGCCTCTGGGTCCTGCGCGGGGGTGTTCTCTGAACGCACCTGTTGGCTTGGCCAGGCCAGCTCTCCAGAGAGCTGGCGGCCCCTAAAGGACAGCGGCCAGGAGATCCCAAAGAGTTCCCTTTCTCCCACCCAGTCTTGGCTATCTCAGCTTGTAGTTCTTGGGGGAGGGAGGCAGGGGCTTCGCGCAGGTGCTCCCGCTACTCCATGCAGATCCACAGCAAGCTCGCCAGCAGACCGCGGGGCCCCCTCCCAGGCACCTCCTCTCGTAGCAGGTGTGGGCGCCGCGGCTGCGCTCAGGTCTCACCTCCCTCTGTACCGCTCGGTCAGGATTGTCCCGGGGTTTCCTCCTCGGCCCTGCCCTGCCGAGTGCAGCTCGGCCTTTCCTAGCGGGCGTGCTCCGACACCGCAACAGGTGGAGCCGCGCGGCTGCCAGCCAAAGCGACTCCACCCTGTCTCCCGCCTCCTGGCCGCGAGGGCCGCCTCTTGGGCTGGTCTCCGCCGGCAGGCTCGCGGCGCTCGGCGGGCCAACCTCGGGGCTGCAGCGCTCCCACCCGGTGCGCAGATCCCGGGAGCCAGTGCTGGGGAGGCGGGTCGGGTGCTTAGGCGGCCTGCGTGGGTCCCTCCGGGGCCAGGAGAGGGCGCTCGGTCCTCTTCCGACACACCTCGCCCCCACGCGTGAACCCAGCCACACACCGCCTCTCCAGAGTCACCCGCCCCGGGCGCGTGGGACGGAATATGGATGCAAGAAGGAGTGGATACGTGGGCACCTGCGAGCTGAGTCGAATTTTTCCGTATTCCCAGCGTGTGCTCCCAGGGGATCCACCTACCAGTATTCTCAACTAGGAACACAAGAGAGAAGGGCTTCCAGTCCTGTTTAGTAAAACCAAGCGAATAAATAGCTCCAGCGAGTTCATTAGAAGCCCTATGCGTTCCTTGGCTCCGTTATTGACTCCCCAATGCCTCTCTTTAGCCCATTGGGATAGGAGCTTAAGGGGGAAATAGTACAGGGACATGTGTATACTGCAGGATTAGACCACAATGATCCTTCCCCACCCCCATTTTATTATGAAAAACTCAAAACATTTCCAAAAGTTCAGCCAATTTTACAGCGATACCCACAACCTAGATTCTACAATTAACATTTATTATACTTTATTATGTATTTTTCTGTCCCTCTCTCCATCATCAACACAGTTAGGATGCATTTCAAAAAGTGGTGGACATGGATACACTTCTGCCTGCATTCCCAGCACTTCTGCCATTACCTAGAGTTTAACATTGACAGATTTTTTAAAAAAAAATTTGCAGTAAATTTTACATATAATGAAATGGACAAATCTTAAGGGTACCATCAGGTGAGTTCTCACAAATGTGTACACCTTTGGAAGCCAAACACTAATCTGTCCAATCTATCAACCGCCTTCATCTACAGGCCCTAAGTCCCTTTCCAGTAAATCCCCACCCTCATTCCTTCAGAGGAAACCACTGCTCTCAATACTCCTACCATGGATCATTTCGGCTTTTGTAGAACTTGGTTTTGCCTGCTTTGGAACTAGGCAGAATCATACAGTCAAGTCTTTTATGTAAATCAAGGATATGGAAGCTTCTGGAGCTGTTCTACATTGTCAGTTATGATAGTTGCTTTGAGAAAATGTCAGGTAGTTTCTTACAAAACTAAATACATGATGATACCCTATGATCCAGCAATTTTACTCCTGAGAGATTTTTGAGACTTATTCATGTTATATATCTTAGTAATTTTCCTCTAGTTTTTTTTATTGTTTGGATGTAACAGTTTTATTCACTCTTCTATTGATAGAAACCAGGATGTTGGAAAATTTTGGTCATCATAAATAATGATATGTGTTTTCATATCTCTTGGGAGTTCTAGGAGTAAAATTGCTGGATCATAGGGTATCATCAGTTATTTAGTTTTGTAAGAAACTACCTGACATTTTCTCAAAGTAACTATCATAACCGACAATGTAGAACAGTTCCAGAAGCTTCCATATCCTTGTGAATATTTGGCATTATCAGTCATTTAAATTTTAAATAATCTGTATATTGCTAGATGCATAGCATTATCTCCTGTGGTTTTAAATTTGCATCCTTGGTTTGATATTTATATATCTTTGTCAATTTTCTGCCCACTGAACAATGTTTTCTCTATTATTGAGTTATAGAGTGTCTTTATATATCCAGGATATCAGTTCTTTCTTAGACATGCATTTTGCAACTATTTTCTACCTCTGGCTTGCCTATTTATGTTTTCTGACAGATGTTTTAATTTTGGTTTAGCCCAATGTATCAATCTTCTTCAATTTCTGTATATTAAGAAATCATTGAGCCAGGGTTATGGCCCAGTGGTAGAGTGCTTGCCTAGCATGTGTGAGGCATTGGGTTCCATTCTCAGCACTGCACATAAATAAATAAATTTTTAAAAAGGACCATCAGGGCTGGGGATGTGGCTCAAGCGGTAGCGCGCTCGCCTGGCATGCCTGCGGCCCGGGTTCGATCCTCAGCACCACATACCAACAAAGATGTTGTGTCCGCTGAGAACTAAGAAATAAATATTAAAAAAAAAATTCTCTCTCTCTCTCTCTCTCTCTCTCACTCTCTCTTTAAAAAAAAAAAAAAGGACCATCAACAAAAAACAAAAACAAAACACATACACCCTCCCTCAAGAGTGCATAGTTTTGTCTCCTTTCCCCCAGCTTTTATATTTGGGTCCCTGATCCATTTTAAGTTTGTTTCTATATGGTGTGAGGTCAGAGTTATTCGTTTTCTCCACATGGATATCCAATTATTCCAGGGTCATTTGTTGAAAAGACAATAGGAATGAATTTATTTCAGGAATCTGTATTTTGTTATCTTATTTCTCTACTCCCATTCTAATACCACAGTATGCAGTTTACTGTTCTATTTTGTAGCTGTGTAGTAGAACTTGAATTCAAGAAGTGAGTCTTCCAACTTCATTCTTCATTTTCAAGATTTATTTGAATAATATTTTCCATGAAAAAATTTTAGAATCAGCTTATTAAATTTCATCAGAAAAAGCCTTGTGTGATCTTCATTAGGATTATGTTGAACTAATTTTGGGAGAACTGATATCTTGAATGGTTCATGAGTAATGTATATCACTCTATTTATTTTGATTTTCTAGAAAATTTTTATAGAGATCTTGCATAACTTTTATAAAGTCATTTTGTAAAGCCATGTTCATATCATTTTGTAAAGTCATGTTCTTTTGATGCCATTGTAAATGGAATTTCAAAATGTTTTTCAATCATTTGCTTTTGCCTTGGTATAGAAAAATACAAATGACTTTTTGCAAATTACTTTTTTCCTCCAAACTTGTTAATTTGATTATTAATTATAATGATTATTTTACTGATTCCTTTAGGAATTTTTATATAAATAATCATGACATCTGAGTTTTGGTTCTTCCTTCTCCATCTTTTTTTCTTGTCTTATTACAATGGCTAGTACCTTAGTTTATTACTGAGTAGAACAGGTGGAAGTAGGTACTTTACTGAAGATCTTAGGAGAAGGCTTTCAGTTTCTCATCATTATATATGGTATTAGCTATAGGTTTTTCATGGATACCCTTTATCTGGTTGAAGAAGTTTCCTTTTATTTTCATTCTAGTTTTTAAATGAAACATGGATGAGTACTTAGTTTTGTTTCATGCTGTCTCTCATCTATTGCAATACTTTTCTCCTTTATTCTATTAATATATGTTGAATTTCATCAATTTATTTTCTACTGTTAAGCATGAGCATTAGAAAGCATTAACTTTTAAGAAGAAAAGCATTGCATTTCTGGGATAAATTCCACTTGGAGCTTCTATTCTATTATTTTTATTATTCTTATTGTTTTTTTTTTCTTTTTAAGCTTCTTGTAGTAGATGTTTAAAACACTGATCTTAGATCCTTCTTCTTTGCTAATGTTGGCATTTTAAAGCTCTAAGTTTCTCTATTAGCGCAGTGCTATCTGCATCCTGAAATTATTGAATTGTTTTATTTTCATGTTGTGTTCAAAATGTTTTGTTTTCTTCTTTGGCCCATAAAATATTTACATGTGTTGCTTAATTTCCAAATATTTGTATTTTTTAAAGGCAAATTATTTCTAACTTATTTCCAATGTGGTCAGAGAATCATATTCAGCATGTGTCTAGTCTTTCTAAATTTATT